CCAATGGGCCGACTACTAGAGCCTTGGTCCAAGTCCTGAAATTAAAATTGACATTGCTGCTCATATTTTCTTCACATTGTGGCTCATATTTTCATTCCTTTCATAGCATGCTCAACAATGTGGATCTGGCACAGCCATCTACCTATCTATTGATTCGTCAAACATTTATATATTTCGTGGCGAACGTTCCTGTATGTGGTCATCCATATACCTGGATCACTATGGTGAAGAAGATAGTGGACTCCGGTAAGAAATACTATTATATTTTTACATTACTATATTTTTATTTTTATTGTACATTTGTAATTGCATCAATTGCATACATTTTTTAATTCTTTTCCAAGCAGAGTGATATTTGAAAATAAATGTCGGTCAGCTGGTCAGGATGTTTTAAAATATAGTCCTAATGCCTAATTTTAGGGTCCATTGCCAATCTTAAAAAGTTTATTCAATCTTAATTTTTAAACTTCAGTGAGATTGGGCGGTTGTTAAAGTTGCTATTTTAACTTTTTATAATTCTGTAATTCTATATATAATATTCTAATTTGCCATTTATTGTAAAGTATAACCTTTGGATATATTTATATATTTATTAATTATTCTTTGTTTAGTGTCCCCTTGGCAGCAGAGAAAATTTGTACAGCAATTAAGTTTGATTTCATTTTATCCTGTCTCTGTCAAGGGGGTTTTTTTTTTTGTTTTTTTTTTTGTTGTATAATGTTTTAAAAATTGGACGAAATAAATGAAATTAGATGAAATGAAAGCAGTCGCCCCATGATTATTTGTTTAATAGTGGCGGCGCAAGCATCTGAAATCTAGAGTGGGGAGGGGGGCACCGCAACTGTTGTTTAGTAGAATGGTAACTGCAATGGTTAAGGTACAATTGTTAATTAAAACTTGAAATGGATTGGATTGGATTGGATTTATTCGGTGTAAACACCAAGGATAGCCCACGAAAGTCTAGAAGAAGACTTATTTCCAGTGGGGTCCTTCTGGTGGCGATTGGGCTGTACACCGGGAGACAAACCCCCACTGCGTTCTTTAATGTGCACATGCGCCATAATGCACACGGGACCAACGGCTTAAACGTCTCATCCAAAAGACAGTGCGCTATTTAACTTGTATTTCAGCCCTCCAGTTAAAACACAAGGAGAGGCAGCAATGGGAATTGAACCGGGGACCTAGAGATCTTCACGGTTCAGCACACACACAGTGGCTACCACCAGATTAGTCAACTGAGCTAAGCTGCTCTCTCAACCTTTACGTTTTTATTTTTTGGGCTCCTTTAAATTAAAAAAAAAATTTAAATTTAACATTTTGGTTCTGTTGGCTAACACAAATTAATAATGATATTATTGTAAATGATAACAGGAAGGCAATGATGTCATTCAAGGTACAGGTTGGTGGTGGATATTCTTATTATGAAGTTTTGCTACCCTTGAAATGATGAAATATAATATTTTATCTATTTTTTGTGTCAATAATTGTGATGCCAGCATAAAGAGGTTTTTCTAGACTTTGGATAGGATTATCATAATAATAATATTTATTTGGAAAAACGCTTTCTTAACAGCGGCACACATCACATCAATGGTGCCTCCATAATAAAACTATAACAATCAAAATCATTAAAACCAACAAAATCAACAAAAATGGAATGATTAGGGAGAATAGGAACACTCTCCCTGCTGTTCAGACTTACAAGTAGAACGCAATTTGTAAATACAGGGTAGCCATTCTCAGGACAAGAATTAACATAACCAAGGAGGTATATGTGTGTATGGTGCATGCACGTACATATACATCCACATACACACACATAATACATACATATATACATACACACATACATATACATAGACACATATGCATACACACATACAGTACATATATATGCCTCCTTTACTTATAAAATAAAAAGGCAAATTAACAGTAGGAAATACTTAAATGAAATGAACCACACCAGATAGTTTATCAACATAAATAAACCACATATATCAAGATGATGAGCTGCAGATATGCAATACATAAAACATATAGTACTAAATTACTAAACAAAGTTTACAAGGTATATAAAAAAACAATAATCCAATTGCAGTAATAACAATAAATATATTAGTAATATGCAATAATAATGTAATAAAAGATACTATAAATATGAGTAAAAGTATGATTTTTTTAAAATGAGTAAATATAGTTAATCAGTCTACAGGATTACACTTAATTTGTAGCCTTAATGCCCATGCCCTTTTTAAATAAGTTTTACAGAATTCATCAAATATTATGTGTGCTATAATTGCTAAATTTCTGGAAATCATAGGTATGATCTCAGTACAGTCCCCACCCAACATAATAAATAAAGCAATGTCTTCGCTTGACCAAAACAGATTCCATAACTCTGACAGTCCTGAGTCATGAAGCTGTCCAAACAAATATGGAAAATTGGTATTCTTTTGTTGTTATTATTTTGAAACCTAAAAATAGCCTCACATTTATAATTGTCATCGTTCATTTATTTCAAACCGTATTTCAAAAGGGTGACTCCTCCAGCAGAGCTGATCATTTGGGCCCTCACCAGTGGCGTATCTAGCAGTGTTGAAATGAAATGATGGGTGGTGCAAAGGTGAAGTGGGGGGCCCTCGATGATTAGGTGAGGGAGAGCTAGCTAAAAAATAAGGGGATTTGAGGTGATTTTTAATTACTTAAGCATAATTATTTGGGGGAAGGGCCACTGGTAGGTGCAAGTATTTTGGGGGGTGGGGCATGCTTCCCCACACACCTGGCCCTCACACAAACAAACATCACTCAATATAATAAATAGTCTATAATATGTGATAGGCAAAGCAGGAGCTTAGCACCACTGAACATTTGTGTGGTGAATATTGGTGTATTAGTTCATTTTAAAGTAGTTCTTTTATTATTATTACTATTATTATTAAAGGTTTATGAAATGTTACATGTTTTGACAGTAAATCAAAATTCAATTAACATTTCATTTATTTCAAGTAAGGCAAGACTTTTTTCATACCTTATTTAGCGAACCCGCCGACTGCAAATACTGATGATTTCGATAAAAATAAATTATATTTTTGGCCAATTACACGACAAAGTGGAAATTTCTGAAAAAAATTGTTATTTTTATTACACCCAGTCTGCTGGATTGAAATATTTCTTCCTAATTATTTGAATTTGAAGTGTTTAACTGTCCTATTTTACATTCACCAATAAAATTTTATTTTTATTTTCACCTCCATCTGGATGTTTTTGGCAAAACTATTTGCTAAATAAGAAAACAAAATTTTATTTATATTTTCATTCCGCCCTCCTGAGATGATTTTTTAAAAAATAAGTATGCGAAACAAGGAATAAAAAAGTCTCGCCTAATTCACACTGGTTAAATTTCTTTTTTTTAAAAATATATTTTTTACAGGAGAGGAAAGCCCTTAGTATTAAATGAAGCACGCTACTCATTCCTAAATAATCTTTGGCGTAATCACAGCTTGGATCACACATGCAAGAATTTAGTGATGTTAAATGCATTCTAGAGCCTGTTACTCTTATTGCTGAATGCCTTTATATCGGTCTAGAACCTGCAACTCTCTCCACCACCATCAGTGATGACTTCTCAGTCACAACCTGCAACTCTCACCACCACTGGCGATACCGTCTATGCCTGGAGCCTGCTAGTCTCACCTTTCTTGATGTAGTATGAAGTGATAATCTCATCTTCGATGTCTTCTAGGCCTGGAGCACACTCCTTATCACCATTTCCATTATTATTGATGAATTATTTACAGTATCTAGTCTAGAGCCACTGCCATTTACATCATTGTAGACACAAACAAAAGTATAAAAATCGCTGTACAGAATAATTGTAGGAAGTTGGTGTTATGCAGTAGTTAAGATGATCTGTATTATAATTTTTATTATTATTTTGGTGTATTAAGATCCCAATGGAAGCTACCATAATAATTCCAAACCAACTTTACACTTTTAATCTGAAATGGTCATAAAACTTTAATGATTATGACACAGTTACTGTGAATGAAATATTAATTGACTGATTGATAAGGTTAGACTGGTTCATTTTCCTTGTCATTTCTTGTAAGGGTGGTTTGGGCTCTCACCTGTGAGGTTTGAGTTTTAAAATTTCCTTAGACAATTGGCCCTGTATTCCTATTGCCTTCAACCAGGATTACAAGTGGATAACTCTGGTATGTTCAGGCAAGACTTTTTTTATACCTTGTTTAGCAACCCTGCTGCCCGTCAATAATGATGATTTCAAATAAAAATAAAAATTTTTTTTTAGGCCAATTAGCGTACAAAAAAAAAAGGAAATTTCAGAAAAAATTAAAAGTTTTATAAAATTTTTATTATGCCCTCCGCTGCTTTGAAATCTTCAAAAATAAGATATGTATATTTAAATTTTTATGTAAATTTAAAGCATTAATCATCCCATTACTACACTGTTTACATTCACCATTAAAATTCCGCCGTGGCCGTATCTTATCTTTGCTAAAGGTATGGTAAATTGCATCATCCAATAAAATGCTGCCACAAGCGTGACGACATCGTCCATGATGACTTGTGAAAACGCTCACTGAATGCAGAGGAAGTTTTATGTAGACCTGGAAGGCCTGCTGAGTCATTGTGTCTTGTTTCCCAAAACAAATACAGTATAAAATTTTAAAATACCACAACTACGGACCAATTAAAGGTAATTTCCTGTCACATGTTCCATAATCAAGTTATTTTATTAGTGATTGTTAATGTTAGTACCTTAGTCACTTAAAGAAACATTACTGTATATTTTGTAACAACTATACCGTACAATAGCCAAAACTGTATTAAATAACAGTGTTTTTTCCCTGATAACATTTGATTTAATTCGATGTGAAAGTACAACTCCAAGTAGAGAGTTTTTCTTTAACAGCTTCCTGCTCAAAAAACAAAAGAAAAAACACACCATAATAAATGTCGAACTATTGAATCCCAACACGATGGTGTATATTACATTTTGATTTGACATTTTATTGTGTTCACTTTTGAATCAATGCCACCCATATCATATTAGTGATTGTGCACCCAGAATACAACTAACCTTACAAAACAAAAAGATACTAAACTAATTTGTAACTAAAAGTACGCAAAATATTGTTATTTATAACACTATAATTATTACTTACATAACTAATGGAGAATGTAGTATACAGGCAGAGGTCAAATATTACACTACACAGTCTGCCCTTGAATTCTGAGACCCCTCTAATTTGAGACCACTTTTTCAAAATACCAACCACCTAACTTTTAACACAGAGCTTACCTTCTAATTATGAGACCCCTCTAATTCGAGACTGAAACCACCAAGTAACAAAATGACCTCTAATTTAAGACCACTTTTTAAAATAAAACAGATTCCAGTATTTTTAACAATACTCTTTAATTTGAAAAAATTGAACGTCAAAATTATAACATGTATTTTCTTAAATTCATTATAGGTTTCTTAAGTGTATTATCTTTGAAAAAGCTAATTTTTAAAATGAAATTTTTAGTTTTAGGCCACTGGCTTTTTCATATTATATAATAACAAAAACAATTATTGGGGGAAAACATTGGGGAAATCTGGTCAAGATGTAACACCTGAAATAATGGTATGATCCAAAGATTTGTAAGAAGTGTCATCTGAGTGTTCCCTGTTGGTATGCGCTTTGATGTGAAAAGTGGATACCCAGACCCCTAGTCAAAAGGGGAGGGGGCAGGGCCATTCAAATTCAGCTCCAACAATGGCAGTACTGAGCTGGGTGTGGCCCTTTCAGTACTTGGTCTCCCCACCCCTCCCCTACGATCAGCAAGTCTAGCTACAGAGTTTTAATCCCCCAATATCATGGCCATGGGCAACTTTCAAACTCACTGGAGAATTGCTTATTGAATATTGGGAATATAAGGAAAGGTCAAGTAACACAAAAGAACATCTTTCTTTATGTAAAGGATGGACACCTTTATACCTAAACCTAACTTTTGTCAAATAAAGTTTTAAATGTTATGTTTACTTTACAGTATGCTGTTCAGATTTGTTATTTCAATGTGTTTTAAAATTCAAAAGCAAACAACAGTTCTTTGAAATAAATAATGGTTGTCCCATGTTGTCTTTTGGAGACCACCTTTATCTTGGTCTTCATTTAGAGGTTTCAGGTTTGGTTACCCTCGAGTCCAATTATGCTGCTTGGGGACCACTTGAAGACTGTGGTGGCTATGTAGAGGTTTCTAATATGAGACCGAACCCCGAGACCACCCCAAATTTCATTCAGATACAAACATGTTATATTTTCATTGCGGATTTTTTGGGCTCAGTACGGACTCCAAAAGTATGCATTTTCTTTTAGTTTTATAGCGTATGCGGATTTTATAAGTCCGCAGTGACGATATAACATGTTTACACAGAGTGGTGTATCAGGAAAAGGGAAACTTAATTACCATCCTCTTTCTCATACGAAAGTTAATTTACACGTCATTGTTATTGTACAGTCTAGACTGTTGTACAGTAAAGGTATAATGTATCTTGACTAACAAACTAACAGTCACTAGTAAGTTAACTACTCTTGGTTTACTTCATGGATTGCCATTAATTGTTCTATAGTCATGGTACTTTTAATTTTATTTACTTTATTCATTTTTAGCTAGTTGCTCAATTATGAACTTGTTTTGTGCTTTGTGAGTTCAACGTTGTCTTATATATCTCGCTTATAACAACTCGGAAGGAAAGCAAGCTCACAGCTCTGACAGCAAGCGATTACCATACCTTTAGCAAACAGAAGTTAAGATACGGTACCATATAGCTAGCCACAGCGTTAACATTTTATTTTCATTTTCTACTGTCTGAATTTTTTTAGCAAAACTACCGATAAATAAGAAGACAAAATTTTATTTTTAATTTTTTTTCAACCTCTGACAATCTTTCAAAAAATAAGTTTGCAAAACAAGGTATTTGATTCTTATATAAAGTAAGATGTGATTACAATTTGTATAGTCAGAAGTTTTATTTATAATTTCTAATTAAACATCAGTTCTTAAAAAATAGTGGCATTTGCACTTTTACTTAAAAGTGTAATTTTATTAGATATTTTAGAGTGTATGGAAATGGTTGGTTTTATTAATTGTAGGTAGAATTATTCATGAAGTTTGTTTTGTCTTTTGTATCTTGTGCAATAAATGAACTGAGATACATGCATGTTTCAAAGTGTTAGTAATAACTTTTTATATTTTTTATTTATTTATTCTCTGTATAAAAATATAACACCAAAACAGGTAGCAACAATACAAAAAAAAAAGAAATTTATCAAATTCACAATCCAATTAAACTATAGAGTAAATTATTTTAAAAATGTATATATACAAGGTCATCAAAATTAACAAATATTACAATCCATTTACTTAAAAATTTAATTTAAAATAAGATATATATATATATACACAATCATCAAAATTAGCAAAATTTACAAATTGACATAAAAAAAAATCCCCAGACAACAAGAAAAAGAAAAAAAGGAAAGGAAACATTTACACACACAAAAAACACACAAAAGAAAAAATGCAGATACAAGTGTTACATGCAAAGCACAAACAGAGAATAGGAAACACAATAGCTTAGTATTATATACAATATGTACATTTATTAATAAAAACATAGATACATTATTATTAAAAGAGAACAATATGATGGTGGTAAAACACAATTAAATACTTTAAGATGCTCGAAAACTTACAGAATTAGCTGAGCCCACGGCTAAGTAAGTTGGATCAAAGACTGGTGTCCGAGACCGGCAAGGTCTATAGATAAACAGCAGACGTGTAATAAAGTTAATGATAACTTTAGAACTTTTGGACTGACTAAATGATAGGATTGTACCCCATTTTATACATTTATGAACAGGATATATGGGGGAGATTATTATGACATCACCACATAACTTTAAGATGAATTTACTAACTTTGAGATGAATTTGGGAATGACATCATCTCCTTAAAGATGAAGTTGTAGATGACATCATCACACAACTCAGATTCAACAGTCCCTTAGGAATATTAGCCAACAGGTGATTTGGACAACAAAATTTATGAGGGCACTTTAGAACGAACTTTGTACATGCACTCTACAATATGGTAATACAGACTAAACTATTACAAAGTATAGTAAAAATAACATAACAGTATTTAACATTGTATTAAGTAAAATAAATGTATTAGGTATAACCTAACACCTAACACAAGACACCAGCAAAGGAACTTAAATTATACAAACCACAAAACAAGCAAAAACGTCAGCATCACAAAAACAAACAAAAAAAACACAACCACCAAAAAACACATACACGAGATTAAGATCAAGTACTGCACTGAAATTATACTTAATTAGCAATGTGTTTACCTATACTTATTTAGAATTTTACAAATAGTAACAACTGGAGAATTTCTAAAATGGTTAGTCCTGCCAAAAGGGATATCAAGGGGGGGGGGGGGGGGGGTTGGGGGGCGGTTATTTGGGGAAATTCTAACCTCTCTTGTAACAATACGGTAATTGGGAAGGATATACCTATAGGTGTCAGATTCCAAAATCTTCTTCCCAAAATTGAGGATAACGGCTTCTCTCCTAACATAGAGAGTGGTGAGGTTTGTGCACTCAAGTGCAGCCTCGTACGTTGAAAAAACGGGGCCTAAAATAATGCGCAGCACTCTTTTCTGCACCCTTTCAATACTTTTAACTTGAGCTTTAGACAAACTTCCATGCCACACAGGGCAGGAAAATTCTAGGATGGGGCGGATACAGCACACATAAACGAAAATCAAGTCATCAATAGCAAAATTGGCCCTTCTAAGTATATACAAGGTATACAACCTCTTGGATGCTTGCTTAACTAGGTCACTGACGTTTATGTCCCATTTTAGGTCCTCCTGTATATAATCCGTCCTGGTCACCCTCTGTCTCTTATACAATTTCATACATGGAACAACATTTAGTTTAGTGCCGTTAAGGTAAAAATAAGGGGCGGGATATCAGTTTTCATAAAATTAATTCTCATTATGTGGCATTTAGAAGGCTTAGGAACCATATAGTTATTATGACACCACTGAGTAAGATTATCTAGGCAAGACTGGAGTTTAGAAGCATTTCCACGCATAGTCGTGTCAGCAAGAGTAAGGTCATCTACATACTTCCACCATCTGCAACTTTCCATAGATATATCAAATTCAAGTAGCAGGAATAAAATCGGGCCTAGTTTGGTTCCCTGTGGAATACCACA